TATCTCGAAAATACAAAAACTAAAAGAAAAGGTCTTTTAGGGATCCATACATATGTGACGGAACTAATCTAAAAAAGGAATAATTCTTTAAGAAAAAAATTTTAATTTCTAATTTCAGGGTAGTAAATGTGAAAAAACAGAACAATAAAAGAAGAAAAATTTTAGGTCATCTGTAGTCTCACTGTGTAGATATAAACACCATTAACATTTTGTTGTATTTTCTTCCAGTTTTTTTTAATATGTAAAACTGGAATCAATAGACCATTAAAAAATGTTTTTTCCTATTTAAATTTGGAATCTTGTGTCTCTGAAGACAGCAATGATACTATGTGTATATGGTGCATTCATAATCTAATGTTCAGTTTTAAGTTGTATTATATAAATTGTCTGTATAAATCATAACTTAAACTTTAGCATTTCCCTCACTGGAAAATTTAAGAATTTAGAGGACAATCATTTGTCAAGGTTGGCAAATCTCTTCCACTGTAATTTTTGGCTTCTAAATCAATTATGAAAATTTGTATGACAAGGTGGAAGGAATTTTTCTTTTGAGGACCTGCTTTCTTAAAGTCTGACCTCAACAAAAGAATGGGTTTTTCTGAAAAAAAATTTAAAGAGTTTTATATTATTTCTGAATTTTTGAAAGCGTTGGGAAATTTCTCTTAATTCATAATTTTAAAGACAATTTCCACATTCCTGACCGTATATACAAAAGGTAAATAGCATAACGTCTAAATTTCCTCTCCAATGTATATTTTTAAAAGCTTATTCTTTTAAAACTACCTAAACATACTGTCTACTCAAGCATTGAGATGATATACAGCATCAGAGTTAGAAGATATTTTAAACCATCTTAACGGTATAAGGTATAAGAAGCTCTAAACATTTAAGGTTGATTTTAATGATTAAGTTGCAAACTCCTGTGAGAGCTGAGATACTTTTTGTGTCTCTCCCATGCTGGATTCCTACAGTGTGGTTTTGGTTCAGGAGGTCAGCAGTGTGCCTGCACATTTCTGCAGGTGATTCTGAGGCCCAGCCAGGCATGAGAACTATCCTAAGCTTAAGGATATTAACCACCAGGTTCATATTTAAAGAACAAACAAAAACAAAAAAATCCTTTCTTTGAAAACCAGCCTTGTTGTTAACCTGGGGAAGCAGATCAGTATTCCACTCCCATCTGTCAATTTCTGAGAAACACTGACAGCTTGGGTGATCCCCCCCTCAAACCCCATCCAGAGTAGTTCAGTAAGTGACAAGTGAGGAAACTATCCACTTCCAAAGACCCACCACTTCTCTTGGGGAAATGGTGGTATATTATTTTTCTCACTTAAGAAAACACAGAATACTTCGAGAGCCCACTGCTTCCAGAAAGTCCACCGTGAGCATAAAGGAGATTCAGGCTAAAGTAAATTGGGAGACAACCCTAAAGAATGATCCATCTGCTTTCTTTGCTTTTGGTCAGCTCACCATGGGATTGTTTATGAGGAGTATCTACCACTGATAATCTTCTCTCGGTTTAGAATTAGTGGCATTACAAAGAGGTCAGAATGGGGCTTCCCTGGTGGCGCAGTGGTTGAGGGTCTGCCTGCTAATGCAGGGGACACGGGTTCGAGCCCTGGTCTGGGAGGATCCCACGTGCCGCGGAGCAACTAGGCCCGTGAGCCACAACTACTGAGCCTGCGCGTCTGGAGCCTGTGCTCCGCAACAAGAGAGGCCGTGATGGTGAGAGGCCCGCGCACCGCGATGTAGAGTGGCCCCTGCTTGCCACAACTAGAGAAAGCCCTTGCACAGAAACGAAGACCCAACACAGCAAAAATTAATTAATTAATTAAAAACAACAGTACCAACGCCACCATGGATGTGAGGATTAAATTAATCAATGCTTTAAAAAAAAAAAAAAAAAAAAGGTCAGAATGGCTGGGTTGGGGAGAAGATGGTAAATGTGACCCTGAAGAGAGTTCTGCAGGTTCCAGTTTGTAGCACTCTCCATGAGCTGGTTCATATAGGTAGATACTTTTAAAATAAATGACTACAGGATTAGGGGACAAAGGTAAAGCTGTCTTATTGGCACACATTGTCTACCCAGGCATTGGAATTTAGAAAAAAGCCAGCAGTTTTCATCTAATCTCTTGAAAAGGTTTATGCATTGTCTTCCCCCAATCACAAAAGAAAACACAACCACAGGACAAATTACTCTTTGAATGTTTCATATTAATAACTACAGCAACAATAGAACTTGTGCTCAGATTAAAGTTTAAGAAGCTTTAAAATATTTCTAGTTCTTTTCATCTGACATTGTTTAGACTACCTTCAGAGATACTTTTCAACAGTTTCCTTACTGGAAAGAGTTGAGAAGTTTTATAAGGCCAAGGTTACTAGCGTGATTTGATTTATAAGTTTCCTTTGAAAGAAAGAGAGGGAGGGAAGAAATGGAGAAGCAGCAGCAAACACATGTCAACCAAAGAGCGCTGAAATAACAGAGACTGAGTTTTGTGGAGAAACGACAGGCAGATATCTCTATCGTGGTTAGATCTTCCATCCTCATTTCTAGAAGTCAAGTTTGTTTGTCTAGTGTACCTTAGAGAAGTAGGTACTTTCAAGTGGTCCTCCCACAAGTCTCCTTAGCAGCCAACCAAGTCCAATGGCCCTCAGCCAACTAACCCAAGGAGGACTTTAAAGTCAAGTGGACCTATCCATGAAAGCTCGTACAAAGTTATGTAACAGAGAGTTGCAAAAATGTAAGAGAAAATGCACCTGATTAAATGTAAGAACGTGAGTCACCCATGGATTATATAATAGCAATTAAAAAACCGAAAGAGGGAAAGGAGTACACGTAGAACAGTCCTTGAATCTGAGTCTAGTTTAGAAAATCTGTACATTTGATGAACACTTCTGAAGGACTGGGGAGTCTGCAAAGCAGCAGCAAAACAGCATAACTGTGTAACTGGAATTAGATGGAACATTTCTAGGGCAGGGAATAAAATCTGAGGCAGCAGTTTCCCCTCTCCTGTGTTTTTTCAGGCAAAATGCACAGTGGTGGGTGGTTCCAGTGGGCAGCTTTGGCTGGAATTGGTATCCTACGAGAGCAGTCAAAGCCCATTCAAAACAGCAACAAGCCCCTGCCTGCATTTACACGGTTGCCCTCCTGATTTTTTTCTGCCAAACTGAAGACAGAATGGCCCGCTGAGAAGGGTCTAGAAGAGCACAGGACTGAAACTGGAGCCAAGGATTTCCATTCTAGGTTGCTGGTCACCAAGGTTCTTTCCAGCTCTGAAGTTCTGTGTCAGAGAAAGGGGGAGATGGTGCCAACAGGAGAAGAGGCATTTACCACCTGGCTTGACCCCATCCTTCAGCTCAGCACTGTGACAGGAATCACTGGGACAGATTAAGCGGGGGAGCACAGAACTCCCTAAAATCACGAAGATTTCACTATGACCTGACAACTGGCTTAAGCCCAGAATCTCTCACAGTAGAATGGCTTGTTGTCTCACCTGAGAAGCCTCTTCAGGTGACCAAGAGGAGAGGGAAAGACATTTATTCAGGGAGCCCAGGATGCAGGTCCTGGTTGAAAAGGTTGTCACAGCATCGGAGACATTATGCAGGCAGATCAGTGGAGTATGGCTCATCCCCAGGCACAGACCACAGCAAAACCTACTCAGGATTGTGCTGGATGATTTTGCAATTGTTTGTTAAAACAACAAACCAATGGGATTCCCACACTTGTGCTTGTCTTTTACTGTCAGCAATGGCAAGTGCTGACCTGTCTGTACCAAGTGCTCAGCCAAGAACTTGAAGATAGAGTCTAACTTCCTATACCTCAATACATCTTAAATTGGGGGGAGGGGAGGGGTGCACATCTGCCATTTTTTGGTCCCATTTCAGAGGCTACTTAGGTATGAGAGATGTAGCAGGAAGTCCTGTTGCCCCCGATCTGCTAGAGTAACGTTTGGCTCTAAAGTAAGGAAATACAAGAGACCTTGAAGCTGGTAACCGACCAATTCTCTTGACTTTACAGTTAATTTTAACACAATTAGAGGGGATGCCTGATTTCAAAGACAGCTGCTGCAGATCCTCCTCTATTGGGTTTTGGCTCTATCTTGGAAGGCCTCATCTAGGGAGGAACATAGTGAAGCGGACTCTGGTGGACCCTGTGGAACAATGTCCAGGCCACGCTGGGAAGTGAACAGCCGGGTTGACTGGAGGCCTCTGACTCATGGCTTTAGTTAGAAAAAATCGGGGGTGAAGGGAAGGAGAAGGAGGTTGCAGATCATAGAGTGACTCACACAAGCCCTCAGGTGGAACTTTCTCCTGATGCTGTCCAGGGCCTTAGGAACTGCAGGGGTAAATCACTGCGGACCTACCTTCACCTCTGTAAAAGGAAGAGATCAAAAGCGCCGCCCCCATTTCCCCAACTTTGAGAAGTAACTTCTGTCCTGTGGGTCATTTCCCTGAAGGAGATGTAGGGGTGTGCAGCCCTCCCTGGCGAGGGCTGCAAAGTGCTAAACTGCTTTAGAGGCGGCAGGGCGCGCACGGGTGAGGCGTCCCCGCCGCGGACTCGGGGCAGCCCAGCCACGCCATCTGTCAGGACTGTACCCAGGGCAGCTCCTTCTCCCAGGAGGGAGCTTTGAAGACGGCTTTTCAAAATCGCCGCCGCGCTTCCTCCACTCCTTCCTTAAAGGCTCACGGCCGGGAGGGCGCGGCGTCAGCTTCTTCCCACCACCCCAGACCACTGACCCCGGGAAACTTGTAAAACTTCGGGGCAGGAGCGCAGCCCAAGGACGCGCAGCTCAGCGGCGGGACCCCTAGGTGCGCGCCCCTGGAAGGAGCCCGGGCAGGCTCCCGCAGCAGCCTGCAGCGCCGGAGACCCGTGCGCCGTGCGACCGCGGGCGGGGACAGCCCCGGGGGCTGAAGGTGCCCGGCAGCGCTCCGGATCGCCGTTCCTGCCTGCGTCCCGCCCGCCCGGGGCCTCGCTCACCCCGCCGCTTCTCCCTCTCCCGCAGCCGTGTCGGGACCATGTCTGCGGAGACCGCGAGCGGCCCCACTGAGGACCAGGTGGAGATCCTGGAGTACAACTTCAACAAGGTCAACAAGCACCCGGACCCCACCACGCTGTGCCTGATCGCGGCCGAGGCCGGCCTTTCCGAGGAGGAGACCCAGGTAAGCACCCCCGCGCGCCCGGCTCCTGCCCGCGGGGACCCGCCGCTCCCACCCTCGCCTGGGCGATCTCGAGAAGGTGGGGGGCCGCCCTTGACCTCGGCTCCCGCTTGGCCTCCTTCCCCCGGCTCTTTCGTCGCTTCTGCCCGCACCCCGGGAGCCCAGACCTGTATCGCTCCCACAGCAGCATCCCAGCTCCCCGGCTCCACGGGCGCCAGGTCTGTCCCTCCACCCCAGCCCCGTGGCTCCCGCGGGAGCTGCTTAGAAGCCCCACGCCCACCCTCCCTTCTCCTTGCTTTTCCACTCTCCCCTACAGCACGGGATAAACGCTCTCTCCCCCCTCTGGGCTGGGAGCAGCGTCCCTTGGCCCACTTTTGTCTCGCTTTCCCGGCTTTATTTTCTCCTCTGGGCTGGAAGCGAAACCTTTAGGAGAGGGGCAGTGTGCGCCCTCTGAGCCCAGCGCCCTCAAATCTATTCTCAGCGGGAGTGTCAGAGCTGGAAGGGATATTAGTGATCAGCTATAAATTCAGTCCTCAGGTTTGGTAAACGAGGAAACTGAGGTTTAGAGGGAGAGACTTGCCGTGATGGCACAGGTCGTTAAGCATGCTCTTTGCATCACATCGCGCTGCAGCTTCCGGTTAGCTGCAGAGCTAAAATTGCACGGAGCCAGGGAGATTTGGTTCCGGTTTTTAAAAATGCCACGGCTCTAAGGTTTAGGGTCCTTTTCTGGAGTTTTCTGAGAAGGTAGACATCTGACATTACAACTGAAGGAACTGGAAAAAGATGTCACCATAAGTGCATTGATTTATTTATCTATTTTAAAAGTTCCTCTATTATCCTGAAAATTATTTAGGGTAGAGAATGCAACACTGCCCATGATTTTTAACCACTAGGTACAGTAGGTGCAGTATTGGCTCCTTCAACTGACTTAAAAAAATTTTTTTTAACCCCCTATCTAAACTCTTCTATTTCCCCTTTGGTCATGGAAAGACAATGAGTTCTGCATGATGATACCACTTGGAACTCCTCCAGCACCTTTCCCATGGGAGCCCAAAGCAATTCACACCTCTAGTCGCAGGTCTAAAGCAGAGACTTTCTTATTCTTCCCAACTTATAGACCAGAGCATTCAGACATTTTGTTCTCTCCTCACCATGAATCATACTTACCTGAGGCTTAAAAGCTTGTAATGGGTGCTCCAGTGAATCCTAGAACCAAGACCCCAAGATCCATTTTGGATCTCAAGCCCAAAATGATTTTTACTAATTAAGCCTTTGGAGAACTTGCCCAGAGAAAATCCTCCCTCTCCTAGGTCAAACAGAAAGTCCAGCATATCAGTCTTTTGCAAAGGGAACAGATATCTGGCTAGCCAGAACCAGAACTTAATGGAAGGTGATGTACTGTAACCCAAGTCTAACAGCTCATGTTTCTCAGAACCCCAGCTCTCCCCAGGAGGCAGCCTGCTGTACTGTTGTCATTTACAATCCCACACTATATTTAGGAAAGAGGAGTGATCACAGAGACAGTAACTCAACGTTAAGGCTGTGGGTTTACCATGGGCCCCATATTAGCCTGATTCTCCCTTGGCAAGTGACTGTCATTCCCTTACCTGTAAAGCAGAATGATTATGCTGGCCTTTGTAACAGATGACACTTGCTGCCTATTGCTCCAGGTGCTCTCCGAGTACTAAATCATTTATTTGCCACAACAATGCTATGAGATGGGCACTCTTGGCTCCACTGTACAGAAAGTTTAAATAACTTGCTGAAGACCACCACTGGGGAGTAGCAGCACTGGGATCTGAACCCTGGCAGTCTGGCCCCCTGGCCCAGACGCTTAACTACCATGATGTTTTGTCTCCACAGAAAAGGAATGGAAACAACTGGGTAGGGTGGGAGGGAAGCACTGAAAATTCAATTTATGTTCTATTTCTTCCTGAAAAAAAAATCCATGCAGTAAATGACAGTCATCTCAGGCTATATTCAATCTTTCCGCAAGATTCACCTTATATGAGAGAACTGAGCTGAGATCAGGTTGGGGGCAGGAAGAAAGAGAGGGCACCCTTCTATAACTGAGGTCAGCCAATTCAGACCCCTACAGAGCAGGTTCCTCTGCCCCTTTCAGGCAGCCCTTCTCCCATCCCCCCACCCCCACTTCTCCCGTCCTCAAATGAGTAAATGGTAGACTCAGCCCCTAAGTAAGCATTAGGGGGAATGAGTCAGCCTCATAGCGGGGCTCCTTGCTTCCTTTTCCTGCCATGAGGCTAACACCTTCTTCCTCCCTGAGATTGCCACGGCTCAGCTTTCCCCTCTGTCTTCTGGCATCAACCACAGGGAAGCATCTGAGACCCAAGAGCTCAGAGAGAGGCAAAATTGAGCAGTTTCAGGGAAAGA